TTTGTCTTTTGTCTTTGTGTATGGAACAGGATTTTACTTGTCATTATGTCCCTTTGTGACCTTTGGATCACAAATTACAAATAAAATTACCTGGGTTTCTCTCTTTTTATAGTTCCATTCTTTATGATTCAACTTTTAATTTTACTTGGGATCTATTTTGCTATAAGGAATAATAGATAAGCATCTTGCTTAAAATTTTTCCCAAATGGCTAGTCTTTAATTCCACATATTTATTGAACAATACAGTGGTTCTCCACTGATTTGAAATGCCATTTTAATAAAAAAGAGTCTCAAATGAATTTGAGTTTATTTCTAGACACTATATTTTAATCCGTTTTAAGCTGACTTTCTGCATGTAAATGGGTATATTCCCCTGTCATTCATCTCATTGTTCATCATTTCCTCAGACATTTAAAAGGAACTTTAAAAACATTTCCAGTGTGGGTGTTTAAAATGCCTACCTTGGGATCCCATGTCAGAGTAACTGGGTAGAAGTCTCTGCTCTGCTCTCAATTTGCTTTCTGATTATGTGTACTTTGGGAGGTAGCAAGTGATTGGTCAAGTCCATGGGTCTCTGTCCTCCTTCATGGAGACCTGGATTGAGTTCCTGTGCTCTGACTTTTTCCAAGTACAGCCTTGGATGTTATGGGCATGTGAGCCATGAACCAGCAGACAGATTCTCTCTCTCTCTCTCTCTCTCTCTCTCTCTCTCTGTGTGTGTATTTCTGTGTGTCTCTGTCTCTGCCTTTCAAGTGAAAAAAAAAAGCTTGTAAATTAAATATGCTTATAACCAACAGTTTTCTTGAATTTTGCTCTCTCCTGTGTAAAATTAGAATAATAGAATAATCTTGAAATTGTGAGGAAGGCTTTTATATGATATATGTATACCAAAAAAGTACTTATGCCAATTTCATGATTGTCATCAATTTTTATTTTTCACTCACTGATGTACTTATCATACAATAGTGTCAGAGTAAATGTGTATGAGTAAAATAATGAATGTCTATGCCTTAAAAGTCTGTCACTATCACCCAAGATCCTTTAAAATATTTTTTTCATTTGAGAGACAGAGAGAGATTTCCATCTGCTGGTTCACTCCTCAAACACCTGTAAGAGCTAGGGCTGTCCTGAAGAACTCAATTTAGGTCTCTGTGTCAGTGGTAGGAACACAAAAACTTGAGTCATCACTGCTGCCTCCCAGGCTCTGTATTGGTGGGAGCTGGAATCAGGAGCTAGAGCCTGGAACTGAGCCTGCACTCTGATGGGGACGTGGCCATCTAACCACTAGGCTACAATGCCCACCCCTAGGACCCTTTGGATAAGTACTGTTTCTGGTCCTTGTGAATAAGATGTGATTGCCTTTCAAGGTACAGCCATGGGTTTCATAAAGTGGAATAGTTCGGGACACTTGATCAACTCTTCCAGAATGTTAAGTTTTCAATAATAATCCAAAGCTATAGGTTATTCTTTTTTGGATGTTTGCCCTTTTCAGAAATAACATTAGATTTATTAATGACTTACCAAGTCACACTTGAAGGCCAGCTTTCACTCAAGAAGTGCTATGGATTACAAATGGTTTCTTTCTTATTTAATAATTTGTAGGCCGGCACCGTGGCTCAATAGGCTGATCCTCCGCCTTGTGGCACCGGCACACCGGGTTCTAGTCCCGGTCAGGGTGCTGGATTCTGTCCCGGTTACCCCTCTTCCAGGCCAGCTCTCTGCTGCGGCCCGGGAGTGCAGTGGAGGATGGCCCAAGTCCTTGGGCCCTGCACCCCATGGGAGACCAGGAGAAGCACCTGGCTCCTGGCTTCTGATCAGCGCGATGCGCTGGCCCCAGCGCGCCGGCTGCGGCGGCAATTGGAGGGTGAACCAACGGCAAAGGAAGACCTTTCTCTCTGTCTCTCTCTCTCACTGTCCACTCTGCCTGTCAAAAAAAAATTGTATTCTTCTAGGCTTGGAGGTGTGAGGAAACATGACTCACATAGTATCCAGAATTACAGTGGAGGGCAGAGGCAAGAACAGACATAAGCTGGGGAGGCTGAACATACAATCAAACAAGACAGAGAAGTTTTAGTTGAGGTTCTGAGCTATCATTTTGCTAGAATTGTCCATGGTAGTAGCCATGTACATTCCAATGCAGTAGACAGTGATGACAGAGGAAATAATTTCCTTTCTTTGACATAGATTCTGCAAACCTGAGAACACTTAATTCATTTTTTATTTTCTGTGCACTTGTCACAAAAAGGCAAGTCATAATTACAATGCTGAGAAGGAAAATGCAGACTTTAGAGATTTGAGTCTTGAGAAATATATATGGATTAAAGAATTTTACACACACACACACACACACACACAATGAGAACAAAATGAATGGAGCTCAGGATCAGAGATCAGTTCTCTTAAATAAAAACAAAAATTCCTGGTTATTACAGTGCATTTGGTTTTAAATAGAGGAGACTTTAGGCTCTAATCTTGCCCATTCCATCTTACTCCTCACCCATTGACTCATTTTTTAAAATTTTTTTTTAAATTTTTTTGACAGGCAGAGTGGACAGTGAGAGAGACAGAGAGAAAGGTCTTCCTTTTCCGTTGGCTCACCCCCCAATGGCTGCTGCAGCCGGTGCGCTGCAGCCGGCGCACTGCACTGATCCGAAGCCAGGAGCAGCAGGGTGCAGGGCCCAAGGATTTGGGCCATCCTCCACTGCACTCCCGGGCCACAGCAGAGAGCTGGACTGGAAGACGGGGACAGAATCTGGTGCCCCGACTGGGACTAGAACCCAGTGTGCCGGTGCCGCAGGCGGAGGATTATCCTATTGAGCCATGGCGCCGGCGTCTCATTGATTCATTTTTAAAATCACTATTTATTGAACACCTGTTGATTGTAATGACTATGATAGGCTCTGATGCTCTTCCCATTCGTGTCCTGGGCTCCTGGTGCATAACCCTACCCTGTCACATCAGAGAAAACAACTAAGAGATGGATTTCTGGGGGATCGCCACAGCCTTGGTCAGAAGGAGGGTTTGGAAAGGACAGAATGGACGCTCATGATGAGTCTTCAGGAAAGTCAGGGGCAGGAAGGTTCTTGTCTCAATAAGTGGACCAGTGCATCCGCAGGCCAGACAGTCTATGAAAAAGGTAAAGAAGAAGATACACTGGGAGTACAGAGACCAGCAATTGCTGGAGAGAGTGGGGAGATAAGGTGCATGATGAGGACATTACCTTTCTGATTCTAAAGGTAGAACTAGACTCAAATGTTAGCTCATGTATTGAACACACATTTATGGGGCACCTACAGTGTGCCAGCCCCTATACCAAGCAGCAGGGACAAACAGCTGGATAAAGCATAGCTACAGCTTTACAATCTCATAGTTGAGCAGTCAATCTTACAAAGACCGTCACTTAAACTAATGACTAAAACACAACATGGAAAATATAGCGATAGCTGTAAGGATGTGGCGTCCTGCGGACGATGGGGAAGGGAGTGTAACCTCACTGCAGCAGGAGCACTGGTGTTAGAGAGGTTAGCACTCGTGTCTTGGAGGAGTGAACAAGTGAGCTGCAGGGGTGGACACAATGAGCATAGGGGAAAAGAGGAACAAGGAAAACCAGCAGCATATGATTGTGAAAAATAAGGAATGTTGTAAGCCGGGCAGAAGAGAATGAGACAGTTCTTCAGAGAAGAGAGGTGGAGAAAGGGCAGTCATGGAACTTGGATTCTATCTGAAACTGATGAGTGGCTTTGATGGGATTTAAAAGGGGAAGGCAGAGTGCTTGGATTTGCATTTTAGAAATATCACTTGGGTGCCTGGAGCTGTGAGGTTTAATGCTGGAGGCAGAGGTATCAGGAAGCTCCTGTAGAACTCCAGCCTAAACACAATGAGTCCTTGAATTAGGCAGAGGGACTCAGGGATGGAGAGGAAGGAACAGACCAAACAGAATGATTTAGCTGGTGGATGGATGGTGGTGTGGGACTGAGACAAGGAAAAAACACTCAGCTGCTGAGGGGTAGCTCGTGTGGGGAAAATGTAGTAGTCCAGTTTCTGACATGCTGCGGTCCATGTGTCTTTGGGACTTACAGGTGCAGACATTTATCCAGCAGCTTTATGTACTGGTGGAAGCTCTGGGGAAAGCTTTGCATTTTATTTATAAGCCTGAATAACCCAAGCAAATGACTTGTATCCTTACTATCGTCAGCCAGCATTCTAAGAATTTTCCATGCGTTCACTTATGTAATCCTCATGTTAGCCCTTTGAAATAGCTTCTACAATTATACCCATTTTACACACGAAGATGGAGACATTAGGATGTTGGTGATGTATCTTGAGTCGCTAGAACAGTAAGTGGGGAAGCCAGATTCACTTCACCGTTCAGCTTGCATCAGAATGTGCTTACACACCACACAGGTGTGACCATCCTCACTCAGGGAGATGGAGCAACTTACCCAATGAGAGACAGTGGCTGTTGCATCCAGGCTTTCAGCTCAGGTTGTCTGGCCCCAGAATCTGTGTTCTTAACAATCAGCAGAGACCCAAGGAGGACAAGGAGCCTGTCCTGTCCCAGAAGAGTTCTGGGCAAAGTCTCAGGTACAAGATGCTGGGGTGGGGCAGGCATGGTGTCCTGGGCCAACCCTTATTCTCCCTTGAAGGTACCTGGCCTTCTTTGGGAAGGCTTAGTAACCTCTCTCCTGATCGCCCTCAGAGAGAGCTCAGCTGTGTTCCCCTGGGGTTCCTGATCTTCCTGAGACCCTCTGTTAGAGCACTTGTCTCTTCACCATCCTTTGTACACATGCCCGCCTCCCCTGCCAGATTTGCTGTTTGCATGCAATTGCCTGCCACATTTGCAGGAACATTGTTCTACATAATTCATTTTACATAAATATTTTTGGCTGAAAGAAGAAAAGCAGTTATTCTGTAGAAGCTACAGGATGTTGGGAAAGCCTTTCAGCCTTCAGGTCTCAGTGGACTTATTTTTAAATTGGAAAATCATATCTTCTCTGCAGGTTTTTGATGACTTACTCAGGGTGCCTGGCTGTGGGACTGGCACGTGGTAAGTACTCAAGAGATGTTTATTGAGGAATGACTATGAGTGAATGACTCTCTGGTTTTACTACTACTGAGAGGGTTGGAATACTTGTGTAAGATTCTTGGAAAGTGATGTTTTTAGTATATTTCACTAAAACTAAAACCAAATTGGTCTTTGTTTCACTCTGGCTCTGAGAAGTAGCTACTCTGAGCGTGCTGTATTTGTATACATTGACCACAAGTGGTGCTGACATGAGGGCTGGAGATCTGAATTCTAAGACCTTCAGTTGACTTTAGGTTCTTCTTACCAATTACAAGGTTTGGATTAAGTTCTTAAGATGTCATTGAAAATGTGTTTGATAATTATACCTATAAAATAAGAGATTGGCCTTGCAATAGTGGATTAACTTGGAGACATCAATATGTACAAGCACACACACACAGAAACAACATTGTACATATATGTACATACATATGATATCTATGTAAATATATATATTTCTTAGTTTTCCATGATAGTGGAGATGACATCCCAGTAGTAACAGATACATCCAGAGCCCAGATCATGGTTTCTAAATATCTTGCTCCCAGGCGGCGCCGCGGCTCACTAGGCTAATCCTCCACCTTGCGGCGTCGGCACACCGGGTTCTAGTCCCGGTCGGGGCGCCGGATTCTGTCCCGGTTGCCCCTCTTCCAGGCCAGCTCTCTGCTGTGGTCCGGGAGTGCAGTGGAGGATGGCCCAAGTGCTTGGGCCCTGTACCCCATGGGAGACCAGGAGAAGTACCTGGCTCCTGCCATTGGATCAGCCCGGTGCGCCAGCCGTAGTGTGCCGGCCACGGCGGCCATTGGAGGGTGAACCAATGGCAAAAGGAAGACCTTTCTCTCTGTCTCTCTCTCTCTCACTGTCCACTCTGCCTGTCAAAAATAAATAAATAAAAAAAAATATCTTGCTCCAATAAAAGGAATCAGACTTCCTTAGGGAAAAGGCTGATTCTAGGGCTGGGGCAGAAAATAATTCAGGATAGCAAGATGACCCTGGATCATTTGGCAGTACCAGGAAATAAAGGAGTGCTAACAAAAAGTTACAAAAAGAAAGGGTGCAGGTATGTCAAGAGGACCCCAAAGCTAACCCAGAAGAGCTTTCTGTGGCAGCAAAACTGGAAAAAATTTAGCAATCAAATAAACATTATAGCTATGGATTAAAATTCAAGGTATATAATATGTATAGAAGAGACCCTACTTATATAAATAAAAAATTGATAAAAATAAATGGGGGAAGGAGAAGCATCTTCTTTATAGAAGAATTTCAAATAATTCATGTAGATATCCTCTCCTCCAGGAGGCGGGACTTGACCCTCCCTGGCTCCCCTGAATGTTGCCTGGACTTCAACTAATTTTTAAAGAAATAAATAAGGGAAAAGGGGGAAATGATGACTTTCCAGTGGAGAAACATAGCAAACACCACCTTAAGCAAGTGATGAAAGGTGACTCTGCCAGTGATGTCACGTGGCATCATGTATCCTGAATAGGATATGACGAGAAAGACACCTCACCTCTGGGGTATTCTTTTCAAAAACCCATAACCCTGTGTAACTGAGACAATAATACCAGATGAATCCCCACCTGAGGAACATTTTGCAAATGCACTTAACCAGTGCTTGTGAAAATGATCAAGGTCATGAAATACAAGAGAAGACTAAGAGCCTGCCACAGACCAGAGGACAGTAAGGAGGAATGGCAACCAAATGCCACGTGTGTCCTGGATTAGAACCTGGGCCTGGAAAAGGACTTCAGTGGAGAAACCGATGAAAGCCAAGCCCAGTCTGGAGTTTAGTTACTGGTATGTATTCTTTAATCTACACAAAATAGTAATGTGTAATGTGTTTTCTTTAATTCTGATGAAGTAGCATAAGATGGGTGGCAGAGATCCAAGCACTTAAGTTATTGTTTGCTGCCTCCCCAGGATACACATCAGCAGAAAAAGCAAGCTAGATTGGAAGCAGGGAAATCGGTATTCAAATCAGGGATTACATTATGTGATGCAGCTATCCCAAGAGGTGACTTAATTGCTGGGCCTACGTATATCCTAAATATGTCCCTTGCCCTAAATATATCCTTTTTTGCCTAACACCTTGCATATAGCAGGTGCTCAATAAGTGTCAGTCATTGGTAATAAAGGAAACCCCAGTGTCAGGGAAGAGTGAAGCTGTCCACATGGACACCAACGGTCCCTCTTTCCTGGAACATTTGCAGGGAGGGAGGCTTCAAAGCGTTTGAGGTGGAGGTTTGTGAAGGTCCAAGGCAACCCCAAAGAACTGTGAAGGAAGCTGCTTAGGGAGCAGGTGCACTGCCAGGAGCTCCCAATACCCAGCTAGGGGGCATGTGATCTGGGGTGAAACCCTCCCGCTTCCTTCCAGCCGAAGATGATGGTTGGAAAGTTCTGGAGATGGGAAGAGAAAAGCATGTTGTGATTGGAAGACAAGGAAATGAAATTTCTGGTGGAAATGAGAGCGTATAAGAAAAAGGAGCACCATTTAAGAAGAGATAGTTCAAAGTTGAAGGTTTTGTGTTCATATACAGCTGTGAATGTATGAGAGTACTTCAAACAAGCTTGTAGAAATGGAATTAAAAGATTGATTTTGGTGCAAAAATTTTGAAATCCATGCATAGTTTTTTTTTTTTAATGTTCTAGCTTAGAACTGTTCCTTTATTTATTTATTTATTTTTGACAGGCAGAGTGGACAGTGAGAGAGAGAGACAGAGAGAAAGGTCTTCCTTTGCCATTGGTTCACCCTCCAATGGCTGCCGTGGCTGGCGCACTGCGGCCGGCGCACCGTGCTGATCCAATGACAGGAGCCAGGTACTTCTCCTGGTCTCCCATGGGGTGCAGGGCCCAAGCACTTGGGCCATCCTCCACTGCACTCCTGGGCCACAGCAGAGAGCTGGCCTGGAAGAGGGGCAACCGGGACAGAATCCGGCGCCCCAACCAGGACTAGAACCCGGTGTGCCTGGACCTCAATGCGGAGGATTAACCTAGTGAGCCACAGCGCCGGCCCCATGCATAGTTTTTATTTTTATTTATTTATTTTTTTATTTTTGACAGGCAGAGTGGACAGTGAGAGAGAGAGACAGAGAGAAAGGTCTTCCTTTGCCGTTGGTTCACCCTCCAATGGCCGCCGCTGCAGCCGGCGCACCGCGCTGATCCGATGGCAGGAGCCAGGATCCAGGTGCTTTTCCTGGTCTCCCATGGGGTGCAGGGCCCAAGCACCTGGGCCATCCTCCACTGCACTCCCTGGCCATAGCAGAGAGCTGGCCTGGAAGAGGGGCAACCGGGACAGAATCCGGCGCCCCAACCGGGACTAGAACCTGGTGTGCCGGCGCCGCAAGGTGGAGGATTAGCCTATTGAGCCACGGCGCCGGCCTGCATAGTTTTTTATAAACAAATTTTTGTGAACCTTTTGAAGACTCCTTATATGCGTGGATTTCAAAATATTTTTGCACTAAAGTAAACTTATCCTTTAAGGTTTCTTCTATGAGTTTGTAAAGTATCCTCATATAATGTGATGTATATAAGAAAATCAAGAAAACTCCTATTGCTTGTCTTCCTACACAGAAACACGTTTCCTCCTTGCTGTATGAAAAAATGAATATTATGAGAAATATTGCATGCTACCTGAACACATGAAAAGTTTTTTTTTATTAAAATTAACGAATTCTTCTAGAAACAAGTGGAGTCCACAGCTTCTGAAGTGGAATTAGGAGAAATTTAATTGGCATTTAGTCAGTGACTATACACATACCCCAGGTATTCGCACTTTTTTTCCTGCTTAGGAGACAGGCTTATGATATTTCACATTGTCAGTCAGTAAAACATGTTCACTGGTATCACTGGTTAGGCCACAAAACATTAAAATTGACTTGACTTCATTTCAACACTGAAGAAAAAGAAATCACTTTTAAAATAGAAACATGTTTTGTGGAGAAAAGACTCATAATTCCGGGAAAGGAAGTACAGAAGGTTTTTTCTTCTGAAAATCGATATCATGAGGCCAAACTGGATTTAATATTGTACTCCTGTCCAGAGTGTGGGGAGGGAATTACATCAACGTTTGCAGACTTGTTTCTGAATTCAATCTAATTAAAAGTTGCCCAAAATGATAGAATATACACGAAGTATTCTGAATATATATCTTTGAATAATAACTATATTGATAATAATCCTATTAGCTTTCACATTTATTAACAGCTTGTTATGTAGCAGCTATTGTGCGAAGCATTATATATATATATATATATACATACACACACACACACACACACATATATATATATATATTTCACATGACAAACCCATGGGTGGTATTTTATTATATCCTGTTGATGGGTAAGAACAACAAAATTCAGGCTTGAGTGACCAACTGTCCAGATTTTCCCAGGATGCAGGACATTCAGTGTTATACTAGGAAAGTTGTGGGTACGCTGGGGTGAGTTGGTTGCCCTGTTAGGATGATTTGCTTGATCTTCAAGTGTAGAGAGGGGGTTAAAAGTCTGGTGTCCTTGGTGGTCAGCTTTGTTACTACCACCGCCCCATTCTACCCTACAGTCCCCAGGAGTTGAAAAGCAAAGACCTTCCCTGGAAGCATGGGAGGAGGGATAGATCTAGGTAGAAACCAGAGAAAATTATTTCATGCAGAGTTGTTGAAAATGCCACCTGTCCTTGCTCCTTTCCCCAACCACTGAGCAGGTAAAGCTGAGCCTGCCTGTATAAAATTTCCAAAGTGCTTGTGTGTTAGTGGAAACTGACGTTCAGTGGTACCTACTCACCTTAGGAAGTGGGTAGAGATGACACAGCGGCTGGCCAGGCTCCTGTTTACAAAACTCCAGGGTGTGACACACCACATCAGCATTCACATCTTTGTCAAATCTGGTGGAATGGAGGGCAAAATGCAGGCTGTGAAGATTTCTCAAGCATCAGTAAACTGACTTCTTTCTGTTTTTGAAAGATTTACTTATTTATTTAAAGTCAGAATTACAGAGAGAGAGGGAGAAAGGGGAATGCAAGCTTCCGTCCACTGGCTCCCTCCCCAAACAGCCGTGATGTCCAGGGCTGGGCCAGGCTGAAGCCGGGAGCCAGAAGCTTCATCTGGAACTCCCATGTGGGCGTAGGGGCTCAAGCACTTGGGCCATCCTCCCCTGCTTTCTCAGGCTATTAGCAGGGAGCTGGATTGGAAGTGGAGCAGCTGGGACTCCAACCAGCACCCATATAGTGCTGACACTGCAGGTGGTGGCTTATTCTGCTATGCCACAGTGCCAGCCTTTGGAAGCAGACTTATTTCAAGCAAGGTGATTCCCTAGAGTGAACTCACTGCAGCGTGGCCCGTGAGCCCTTCCCTGTGCAGAGCTCTGCCCTGTAAGCATTACCTGCCACAGTGCTGTCTCCCATATTTAGAATAAGTCCTAGGGGTTGGGGACAGGGCAAGCACAGCACTCACACAAGCATTGTGGTTCTCTCCAGAAGCCACAAGTAAAATTGAGTAAGAAAAAAGGGACAGGCTGTCATATGATGGGAATAATATTTTGAATCTCACTGGGCCTTATTGCAAAATTTTATTTGTGGATATAACTGTAGACACTTAAAATTATTTTCTTAGGGAAAATACATATCATCTCTTCTTCTTTAAAGCAAATGTATTTCCTATCCTTATGGAAGAAAATATAAAATAATTGACTTGTTTTTTTCCCCTGAGGATGGTGTAAGGATGACATTCTTCAAACATTTTGTTCACATCTGAATTTGAAAAGATATCTTCTGTATTTATTTTTTTCTTTGCCACTACCAAAACTCTTCTTACCAAGAAAAATGAGCACAATGTGCAGCTTCCAATGAAGGAACAAGTGAGTATGGACTTTCAGTAAATTTTCTATGCAACTTTTTGATTCAACCTAAAACATTAAAAACAAGAAGTGCAGCAACACAGGTTGGTAATACCCATAAACTGATCTTTTATTATGTGGAGGGATAGTGATGGATTCTGGAAGATAACTTTTTGGGTTTTCCCCAGCTCATTCGATCACTTCATGTCCCTCTTGGCCCATAAAGGTGGGCTGTTGGTAACCATGTTTACACTCTGTAGCTCCTGGCCAGCTGTTTGGGCCTTGTTAGACTATTGTTTCAAGCAGGACCAATCAGATTCACTCTTTAAAAATTTGGAATTGGTGTTAAAAAAATCCACATGCGGAAGTATGAAGCAAGACCCCTACCTTACACCTTACATGAAAATCCACTCAACGTGGATAAAACATCTAAATCTATGACCAGAAATGATCAAATTATTAGAGAACATTGGGGAAACCTTGCAAGAGAATGACACAGGCAAAGAGTTCTTGAAAAGACCCCAAGGCACAGGCAGTCAAAGTCAAAATTAACAAATGAGATTACATCAAATTGAGAAGTTTCTGTACTGCAAAAGAAACATTCAGAAAAGTGAAAAGGCAACCGACTGAATGGGAGAAATTATTTGCAAACTATGCAACTGATAATGGATTAATAACCAGAATATACAAAAAGATCAAGAAACTCTACAACAACAAACATACAACCCAGTTAAGAGATGGGCCAAGGACTTAAATAGACATTTTTCAAAAGAGGAAATCCAAATGGCCAACAGACACATGAAAAAATGTTCAGGATCACTAGTTGTCAGGGAAATGCAAATCAAAACTACAATGGGATTTCACCTCAGCCAGTTAGAGTGGCTTACATACAGAAATCAACAAACAATAATTGCTGGTGAGGATGTGGGGAAACAAGGCACTCTAATCCACTGTTGGTGGGAATGTAAACTGGTAAATCCACTATCAAAGGCAGTACGGAGATACCTAAAAAATCTGAATATAGAAAAACCATGTGACCTAGCCATTCCACTCCTGGGAATTTACCCAAGGAAAACGAAATCAGTAAAAAAAGATTTATCTGCACCTCCGTGTTTATTGCAGCTCAGTTCACGATAGCTAACACATAGGATCAACCAAAATGTCTATCAGTTGAAGACTGGATAAAGGAATTATGGCATATACACATTATGAAATACTAAACAGCAGTAAAAAAATGAAATCTGGTCATTTGCAACAAAATGGATGAATCTGGAAAACATTATACTTAGTGAAATAAGCCAGTCCCAAAGGGACAAATACTATATGTTCTCCCTGATCAGTGAAAACTAGTAGAGCACCTAAAACAAAGTTTGTAGAAGTGAAATTGCCACTTCGAGAAGGGATGACTTGAGTTGCTCTTTGTCTCAACTGTCGAGAGACAGTTTTGTGTGTTTTTTGTTTTGTTTTGTTTTTTTCATTTTTTTCTTTATGCTATTTGTTGAACTCTTTACTTAACAGAGTTAATCATATGTGTATAAAGTCAATTGAAAA